AGTCTGCTGATTGAGTCTGGCCTTTCCTGCTTCATGGTACACCACCCTCCAGGAGTATCTGTCTGGCCCTGGCTCCGGGTGTCCAGTGATCTCCAACCTGAGATGAGTCTCTGGGTCTTATGTAACCCATCCATCTAATGCTCCACCCGAGTGGACAGGCCCCTTGTGGCTGAACACAAGGCTGCCGCGTAATCATGGCTTCCCAGGGGACCCAGGAGTTGGGGGTGCTCCCTTCTGCAAGCTCTTCACCAGGCATCTCTGACCCCGGATGCCTTTCCATGCTGAGCTGACCTGGTCCCCTGCTGCCAGGGCAGGACTTCTGAGGAACTGCAGAAGCCAGAGGCTGGACACCCGAGTCCCCTAGAGCTTTCCACCTACCCACCAGTAGGTGGGCATCTCCCTGGACTAGCAAGGTGAGGCACTTGTGCCCATCTGTTCTCAGAGCCAGGGGCAACTGCGCCTGTCCCTGGGATAGGGATTGTGAACAGGATATAGCGACCAAGCACCATCAACCTCGTTCAGCCTATTCTGGGGTCAAGCAGGCTGTAGGGAACACTTCAGAGCTCCCAGCCCAGAACAGCTTCCTGGAGACTACTGTACGGACAGAGCGCTACTCTCAGCCTCCGGGGTTGCAGAATTTTAGGGTCTCTCTGGCAGGATCCATTCCATCAGCTGGAGGGGACCAATTAAATGCCTGAAAGGACACTAATAGCCAAAGGCAATGGAGTGTGACAGTTCCAAACAGGTGACACAGATACTCTCTCCCCTGAACCCTTGACCACGGCATTCACAGGCCTGAGAAGGTGGGGGTGTCCGGGCTGTGCCTGCTGGGGCAGAGGAAGGTTCTCTGTGATGCTCCCCGTTTCCCCAGCCCTTCCTGCCCTTCAAGGCTCACTTACCAAGTTCTGTCAGTGGGAACGGTCAGTCAGAGAGGCAGAGACAAGGAGGAGCCACAGGTGGGAGAGGAGGAAACAGAGAAAAGACAATGAATCACTGGTCAGAGTTAAAGGAGAGGGGCCGAAAGGAATTCTGGGAGCCTAGCCTGTGGTACAGGTCCAGAACCCTGAGGCCTCAGAGTCTGCAGCTGAGGCAGGGGTGATGGAGGGGAGCGGAAAGAGGGTGGGGCATGAGTCTGGGGCGATGCAGAGAAGGTGAGGTCACAGGAGGGCATGTTCCTCTCTGTGCTCTTCTACAGTCCAGGGGACCCTAGAGTGAGCTGTGAGGTGAGGGGCCATGTCCCCACATTCTGCTTCCAGAAGCCCAGAGAGAAACACTGCAGAAATCAGCAACCACCACTGCCACCTTTTTATTTTCTTAACATCCAGGAGGAAGAGCAGGAGGAGGAGGAGGAGGCCTGAGACACTGGAAACGTTCCTCCTTGTTTCATATCACTCCCGGGGTCGGCCCCTCACCCTGTCCCTCCAGTCCCTGTCCCAGGAGGCCCATGCTGTGAGGGAGATCTCTTTATGCACACCGATGATACAAACAGAAGCACATTCTTCCTCTCCCTTACAGCTCCACCTTGGTGATGGGCCCCTGACCATACTCAGGAGCCGCTGCTGACTGGGATGGCAGCAGCAGACAGTTTTGAGTGCCTGGCTCCTGCCAGGGGCGTCTCTCAGCACTCGGGAAGTGAGAAGAGTTGCCTTGGCCTGCCACCCATGTCTTTCTGTGTTTGTGCTGTTTGGTACAGGTGTTTGCTAGTGTAGACGTGTGTGTGTGTGTGTGTGTGTGTGCGCGCGCGCAATTGTGTCTGTGCACGTGAGTGTAGAGGCCAGAGGTGAACCACAGATACCTTTCCTCGATTGCTCTCCAGTCTTTAGTTTTTGAGACAGGACCGTTCATTGAACCTGAAGCTTATCAGTTGGGCTAGGCTGATTGGCTTGCTTCAGGAATCCAGCTCTCTCCCTCCCTCTCCTCTCCCCGCACTGAGGTTACAAGTGCATGCCGCCATGCCTAGCTTTCTTTGCATGTGGGCCCTAAGGATTTGAACTCGGGTCCTCATGCTTGCTCAGCAACCTTACTACTGCCCCCAGTCCTTCCTCAGTTCTCTTAAAGGCTGTAGAGTGTCCCCATGGCATTGCCGGTCTCCTCTGTGGCCGCTCTGGAATGCTGGGAGCCCCTGACGTAAAATACGTACAATAAGGTCACAGCCTCAGCGGCTCCCCCTTACATCCTTTCCCAAAGGACAGTGGGGCATGGTGACAGTGAAGACCCTCATGAGACATTTGGTTCAGAGAGGTTAGGTGAGCAACTTAGGGTGACTGCAAGGTGTGTGTGTATGGGGGGGGGGGTGGTAAAAGCCCAGACCCAGGTTCCGGGCCAGTGCATCCTGCCCCACAAGCGAAGGGAGCGGAATTCTGATATAGGATTCCCCCCACCGCAGTGCTGGTGTTCGGTAAGGAGCATGTTGGCCCTGTGGTCAGCAATATCATTACCAGGGGTGACAGGTTTCTTGTTGCTAACAAAATGCCTGACAGAAACAGTTTCAAGGAGGCACACTTCGTTATGCCTCACAGTTTTAGGAGCTTTAGGGAGGAGGTGGGGAGCAGAGTCACTCACATCAAGGCAGCCAAGAAGCAGAGAGAAAATGTTCAAGACAGCTCTTTTCGTCCATTGTCCTGACCTTAAGCCAGGGTCTCTCATATCTCAGGCTAATCTTCAACTTGCTATGCAGCTGAGATGACCTTGAATTCCTGATCCTCTTCTTCTCCCTCCTAAGTTCCAGGATTATAAGTATGTGCCATCATGCCTGGTTCACCCAGTGCTGGGGATTGAACCCAGGGCTTCACGCCAGACAAGACAAGCACTCTACCACCGAGATGCAGCCTCAGCCCCCTTTTCTTCTATTTTTATTCCCTCTAGGCCTCTGGGCTCTGGGACTGGATTGTCCACATTCAGAACCAGTCTCCTCTCTTTGATTAATTCTCTCTGGAGACTATGGCAGACACACCATAGGACACACCACCCAGGAGTGGCTTTCTCAGAGTGTGGTACTTACTGGTATCCCACAGCATCTCCACTGCCATCTCTTGGGGGCTGGCTAGAAAGGCACATTTGTTGTAGAGATTACTTTAACTATGTAAAGATGTGTTACATTGGACTATGCTGCCTTTGTTAATGATGTAAAGATGTGCTACATTTGTTTAACTATGTGGAGATGTGGGGTGTTTGTTTCACCTTGCCTGCCTAAGGCACCTGATTGGTCTAATAAAAAGCTGAATGGCCAATAGCTAGGCAGGAGAGGGATAGGTGGGGCTGACGGGCAGAGAGAATAAGTAGGAGGAGGAATCTAGGCTAGAAAGAGGAGGAGAAGGAGAACAAGAACAAAGGAGAAAGAAAGGGATATGCCTGGGGCCAGAAGCCAGGCAGCTGGCAGCCAGACATGGAGACAGCAGGACTATAAGATAAAGAGAAAGAACGAAAGGTAAAAAGTCTGGAGGCAAAATGTAGATACAGAGAAACAGATTTAAAAAAAAACAAAAACCGCTAGACTAAGGCTGAACATTCAAAAGTAATAAGTCTCCGTGTCATGATTTGGGAGCTGGTTGATGGCCCAAGAGAACAAGCCTGGTACACACATTTGTGGGCCACTTGCTTCCGGTTGATTGAACCAGAGCCTCTGGAGTGGGTCCCAGCACCCTGTTGGAACAGCTCCCTGCTCCACCAGATCTCAGTGTATGCCGACACATGAGGGCCACTGGGAGCCAGCCAGCACTAAGGAAGGAACACGCTTGAGCATTAATTAGGATGATCTGCAAGATGGGACAGGGGAGCAGAGAAGGTGGCAGAGCCCTACGGAGACGGGGTGCCCAGTTACTGGAGCCAACCGTGGGAACTGAAGAGCCTCTTGGAAGGATGGCATGAGCTCTGCGCAGCACAGTGTTTTTGTGTAAACCCTCAGGGCAGCCCTCTAGCCCACCTCCATTTTTTTTTGGAGTATGCATGTGTTTGTGCAGGTATGGGTGCATGCATGTACGAGCATGGGTGTGGAGGTCAGAGAGCCATCTCAGGTTTCATTCTCAAGTGCCTAGGGGTCACCTTGTTTTTTTAGTACAGGCTTCCTAAGATCTGGGGCTCATCAATGTGGCATAAGTTGGCAAGGCTAGCTGGTCAGGGAGCCTCAGGGTACAGTCTCTATCTTCCCAACAGGAGGATTTTAATCATGTGCCACCACACCGAGCGTCGAGGTGGGAGCTGGGGAATCAAACTCATGTCCCACACTTATGTGGCTGGCACTTTACTAACTCGGCCACCTCCCTAGTCCTTTCTCTGGCCTCTTGATGAGACCTCTGTGGGTCTCAGAGACTAAGGTCTGTCCTCTCCCGGATCTACCCCAGGGGCTCAGGCTTGGACCCCTCAGTTGTCAGGACCTGGTGTGCTACTGTCCCGAGGCTTCCAGAATCACCTCTTGACGGTCCTCCTATTCTCAGCCTCTCCCTTCTAGAGGGCCAGTTCCTGGCAGGCCCAAGAGAGCTGGGACCTCTCATCTGCTGGGATGGGAGACGTTGGTGCAAAACTCTTTCATTACAGCCCTGGCCTGGGAGCCTTTTGTCTCAACGGCCTCCAACCTTTTTGCCCCAACATGTGTGACACACACCTGTGGGACGTCAGCATTTGCCCAGCCCCTCTACAAGGGCCATAGAGGTCAGCTATTCAAGATACACAGCAAGCCGGGCGGTGGTGGCGCACACCTTTAATCCCAGCACTCGGGAGGCAGAGGCAGGTGGATCTCTGTGAATTCGAGGCCAGCCTGGTCTACAGAGCGAGTTCCAGGAGAGGCACCAAAGTTACCGCGGAGAAAGGAGAAACCCTGTCTCGAAAAGCAAAAAAGAAAAAGAAAAAAAGATACCCAGCCAGCAGGGGAGGTTTTGAATTCCCAACCTCCACCCTCCACTTTAAGCTGGCATGGGCGGGCACAGCTGTCCCGCCCCCCTTTGTCCATGCCACAAGTGGCCAAGAAAAGATGGTGTCCTCCCTCTCTGGGGAGCAGGGCCTCCTCTTCACACAGGTCTCTCCATAGGGCTGCCATCCCGCTGCTAGAGGTGGCAGGAGGCATTTCCAGAGCTGTTAAGAGACAATTTTGTTGGAAAGGGAGATAAAAAAGGACATCAAAGGGGAGCCCAGTGTGTGTGGAGAGGAGCCTGGGGGGCAGGGGATTAAATTCTACTCCAGCTGTGCAGGTGATCAGAAGGCTGATTGGTGGGGCCGTGGTCCCTAAGGTGAGCTGCAGCGGGCTCCCAAGGCTGAGGAGCCAACGGCTGAAGGCTGGAGACCTTTCCAAGTCTCGGTTTATGTATCTTCCGGGAGGGGGCTGCACATTGAATCATTCGTAGCCCCCTTCTGGCTTTCCCCAATGGCTCCTGCTGACTGTAGCCTTCCTGCCCCCTGCAGAGGACAGTCCCTTATCTGCCGGCTGCCAGAAGAGGCGGCATGGACAGTTCCCCTAACCTCGTCCCACCTTCAGCTTCTGGAAGGGGAGGGCGGGCCCCCAGGGGTGGTCAGAGCAGGCCCTGCCCTTACTCCTTGACACTAAGTTAGTGGAACTGGGCCCGTGAATCTGCTACAGTGGTCTCCTGGTCAAGCGCTAGTCTCAGTGCTTCGTGGAACTTCGTGGGGTGTGCTATCATGAACCAGGCCTTCTGCAAATGCTGGTTCCTGAGTGCTCGAGCCCACAGGAGAGGAACAGGGCGCCGGCGGCATGACCTGATGTCTGTGGAGCATCCTCCACCCCTCTGCAGCACACTGGTTCCCAGAGTGAGCAAGGTCTCAGGGCACATCCCTACCCACGCCCAGGCCTCCTCCAGGGCCTAAGGCCTGCAGACCAGTGCCTCAGCCCAGCACACATGTCCTGTTATGGTGACACAGTGGACTCTTTCTTTGCTCTCTGTTGTTGGCCATTGGGCAGTGCCGGGGTCAGTGACCTGGTGGTGTGATGCAGGGGACGAGAGGCTCCGTCTCTCTGGAATCTTGGCTTCTCTGTTACAGGAAATGGCTTTCCCTTCAGGGACCCCATCAGAACCCCAATCAAGACTACTATAGTGTCCCCTCTTTTAAAAAGGTAACCCTAAAAATTGGGGAATAGCTGTATATAGCCCACTTTTACCATAAAAATCTAGATTCAATTCTGAAACTATTAAAAACAACTTAGCGCCTAAATTCAAGCTTTGGTCGCACCCTCACGAATGGGCTGCCAGATGGGTATTTGTTGAGGAGGAGATAAAAATCCAAAACGCCTTCTACCATTTCTGGCCTAGACACCAATGGTATGTCCTATTTCTGACCAAGGATAATAATAAAACTCTTCATTTTCAGGGCACCAACCCCTAACCTTCCTTGCCAGTTTCTACTTCCTCACTTTATCCATCTGTGAAGTGGGTACAGTGGGGCCTGCCCTCTCTGTCATGTGAACTCTTTCCTGAGACAAGCGACTCCTGGGAGCGCCATGGGCTGGTAAGAGCCATTTAACTTGTACTGAGACCCAGGATAAGGAAATTGGGGTGCAGAGAGGATCCCCAGAGTCAGTGTCATGCTCTTTAGAAATACTGTACGGAGCTTAGACCGGCCACAGAAGAATCCCGCAACCACAAATCTGGTGGGGAACACCAAAGCTTAGTGGTGGTTAAAACCAGGGCTGGGGCGATGGCTCAGCGAGTAAAGCACTTGCTTTGCAAGCATGAGGTCCTGAGTTCGGTCCCCAGCACCTGTGAAAATATCAGGCAGAGAGCACACCTGTAATATATAGAAGCACTGGGGTGGCAGAGACGTAGAATAATTCCTGGGACCTGCTGGCCAGCCAACCTAGCAGAGGTGTGAGCTGAAAGCCAACGAGAGATTCTGTCTAAAAAAAAAAAAACAAGAAGAGAAGGTCCCCTGCCTGAGGCAACCCCTGGCTTTCCCATACATGTCTCTACACACACACACAACACACACACACACACACACACACACCCCACACACACACACACACCACAAACAAACAAGACTAAAACACCCTGAGGAGTCAGACCTGAGCCTAGACTCAAGGCACCTCCCCTCTTTAGTTTTGCTGTTTCACACAAATGATTTTTCTCCCGTGAGACCCGATTTCCTCATCTGCGAAATGGGGGAAGTGCTGTCCACCTAACAGACGACCGAGGGCAAGCTGCGACATCCGGGTAGTTGCCTGGGCAGACGTTCATCCCAGAGAACCACTGCTGTAGTTCTAGTAGGCGTGGGGTGGGAGCGGAGGCACTCCTGAGGAGGGCTGAGCTGAGACCTTGGCTGGGGTGGGGGTGGGGGACAGGGAGAGGAAGTCCTGCAATGGGGTGTGTGTCGGGGGTTGCAGGGACCCTTCACTCCCACCCTCAGCCCCGGCTGCACGGTTCCCTTGCTCTCTGTTGAGCTCATCCAAGCTATTGAGTGGCAGAAAATCAAAGCTGACAAGATGTGTTCTTTATCACTCCTTTGTCCATCCTTCCACTTAATTAATCCCAATCAGACATGGTGAAGTGGCCTTGGCACGGAGGGGACCCCCCTCATCATGTCAGCTGCCTCTCCCTCCCACCTCTGAACCTACAGACCACTAGACTTCTGTCCCTGTCTGACCCAGGTCACTACCTTGCACCCACGGCACCCAGGCTGCCTATCTGGATGACAAAGTCCAGGAGGCAGTAGAGGACCCCATGGAGGCCACCAACTCTGTCTCCAGCTCCCCTGGGGGACCAGAGATGGAACTCTCTCCCATGGTCAGTACTTGGGTCCCACTGTCCTTTCCTGAGTTCTAGGTCTGTCCGCCCCACCCCAGCAGCTCAGAGAGTCCCCTTCTCTCTGCACAGAGACAAGCTACTGCCTTGCTTCTCGCTCGCCTCCTACCCCAAGACCTGCCTTCCTGGTTTGGGCCTCTGAGCAGCCAGGCCTAAAGCTGGGAATGTCTTCTCTGGCGCCACCACCCACTGATGGATGATGGGGGAAAGATCTCTTTCCTCATGCCTCAGTTTCCCAGTCTGTAACATGGTACTCTTGCCTTGGGGCTTCTCCTACACATTCATGAATTACTCGATGTCCTCCAATTAAAGCATTTCCTCCCACTCCATCTTACCCTTCTCTCTCTCTCTCTCTCTCTCTCTCTCTCTCTCTCTCTCTCTCTCTCTCTCTCTCTCTCCTCCCCTCTGTGTCCCCTGGCTCATCCTTCCTTCATTTTCTGTCCAAAAGTGTGGACACTTAGTGTCACCCCCTCCCCCAGCCCACGCACACATTAAAACCCCGATCTCAAAGGAGGGCGAGCCTTTGGGAGGTGACTTGTGGTGGGGACTAGAATCTTCCTGAATGGGATGCCAGCCCTTGATGGCACTTAATGAGAGGGACCCCAGAGCCATCCCTGCCCTTTCTGCCATGGGGGAACACAGGCAGAAGCCACATCTACGAGCCAGGAGGTGTCTCTTGCCACACAACCAAATCCTCCCTCTCCTTGGTACTAAGACTCTCCTGCCTCCAAAAGGAGGCAAGTGTGCCCCTTTGTTGTTCCAGCCCAGATGGACCAGACGCTCCCCTTCCTCTATTCTCCTCCTCTTCTCCCCTGTGCGCACCCCACACCCCGCACTGCTCCCGGCTGCCCCAGGTTATCCATCGAATTCCACACACGCCTGCACAGATGGGATCAATCCGAGGCTGCCTTGCCTTCAGCTTATCTCTGCTCCAAATGATTGATTTTCCCTCTTTAAGAGTAATTTGCTGGCGAATTCCACGTATTGGAAAGAAGAAGAAAAAAAAAGTCCTGTGAAATCTAATTCAATCCGACTGGCAGCTGGCACTTTGGGGGAAGAACACTAGAGAGCCGTCATCTTCGTCCCGGGTGGGTGTAGCGCTGCCGCTGAAGGTGGCAGGTGCTCGTCACCTGTGCAAGCACACCTCCCTCTGCTTGCCCCAGCTCTTCGGGGAGTCATGATGTCCTCACACAGAGGCCAGTGCAAGTCGGTCTGAATGAACAGTTCCCATTTTGTAGCCCATGGCCAAGTGCATTGTGGGAATCTCTCAAAGCCTAGCTACACATGGGGCCTTTAGTCTATCGCGTTGAGGCTGGCTTCCTTCCTTCCTTCCTTTTTTCCTTCCTTCCTTCCTTCCTTCCTTCCTTCCTTCCTTCCTTCCTTCCTTCCTTCCTTCCTTCCTTCCGCCTTCCTTCCTTTCTATTCTTATTCCTGAGCACAGATAGTCCATACTCTTGGGACCCAGCACAGCATAGCTCATAGGTGCTCCAGATACTTCAGCCCTGCTACCTCTTCACTTTTTCATTCTAGTTTGTCTGCCTCAGTTTCCCCACCCTGGCCACGGGTCGAATGTCAGGCTTGAATCAGAGATGCCTTTCTGTCATATGAATCCTACATGTGTGCTGATTTACGACAGTGGCGTCATTTTAGCCTGGAAGCCCCCCCCCCATAGGTTCTGCTGACGCTGGCTCCGCTCACCTCATCTTTTCTGGGGGGTGCTGGGGACATCTTCAGTACTTCATAAATTAACATGCAGTATAATTAACATTTTTGTTCTACAGTTCTATGGATAATAATAATAATAATAATAATAATAATAATAATAATAAAATCTATGGGTATAGATTCCTGTCTCACCACTAAGCTAAAACAATTTTACTACCCGCCCCTGCCAAAAAAAAAAAAAAAAAACAACAAAAAAAAAAAACTTCTGCCTTGTTCTACTTCTTTGTAAACCCCACTGTTCAACATTGAGTGCCTCTGCTCTTTGGGAATGCCATAGAGTCACATAGATTCTGTTATCTGGTACCCAGCTCCTCTGAGGACACCTGATTCTCCCCTTATACTGCCAACTCTATGGTGTGTGTGTGTGTGTGTGTGTGTGTACACATGTGTGTACATGTGTGCACATGCTTGTGAAGACCAGAGGACCACATCAGGTGTCTTCAACGGCTTCCACTTTAATTTTTGAGACTCAAGCTCTCACTGATCCTGGAGTTTACTAATTCAGCTAGGCTGCCTAGCCAGCCAGTTTTGGAGACCTCCTGTCTCTGCTTTCCCCAAGGGCTGGGATTGAGTTCATGCTCCTGGACAGGGAGGCATGCTCCTGCCTCAGAGCCATGCCCTCAGGCTTTCTTCTGCCTAGAATATCCTTCCACTAAATGTCTTCACTTTAGAGGGCTCTCTTTCAATGCCATCTTAGTAGAGAGGACTCTCCTAAGAGCCCATTCATTCCCCTAGAACAACCCCAATATAACTCAGTCCTCTCTTTCTTTGGAGACAGGATTTTTTTCTAGTCTCAAAGTTGCTAACTTGTAAACTATCAGAGGATGGCCTTGAACATGTGATCCTCCTGCTTCTGCCTCCTGAGTGCTGGGGTTGCTGGTGTGCCCCACCATTCCTGTTCTTATGCAGCCCTGGGGATTGAACCCAGGGCTTCTTCTGTGCGAGGCCAGCACTCTACCCACCGAGCTACGACCCCAGCCCCGGATGCCTTCTCTCCAACTTTTCTTTTCACTGCCTGGCATGCTGTTTTTCCTATTGACTCAGTTGTTTTGCGACGCTGGGGATTGAACTCAGGGCCTCACACACCCTAGGCAGCCTCTCTAGCCCAGTGGCATCCCCAGCACTTATTATTATTATTTTTTTAATTTAGAGCCGAGGTCCTAGTTGACTTAGTTGCAACCTCCCTGCCTCAACCTCCCCAGGAGCTGCACAACAGGCATATGCCACCTGCCTGCCCTGTTCAGTTCTTTAGTCACCCACTTTGGGAGCTGAAGCAATGTCAGCAATGTCAGTCGTTGAGATGAGCAATGTGAACAAAGTGGGCGGGCAGGGGAGCGTGGGAAAAAGACATTATGTACTGGAGTGAATGGGCCACAGAGAACGGGCACCATCGTAGGCATGAACCAGGTCTAAGGGTGGGGGGTAACATTTGCCAGCTGCTCCTGGTGCCACAGGAGCTTTCAGAAGACCAAGTGCTGTTTTAGGGGTGTGAGTTTTCAGATAAAATGAGTGTTGCTACTTCCCACTGAGTCCTGCTCGGGTTCGGATGTGGAGGATCATGGGAAGGGTCTGCCTGGAAAACAGATAAAGAGAGAACAAGTCCACAGACCCAACAGGAAAGATGAACGTCTGCTGTAGCCCAGGGTACTTGGGTGGGTGATGGCAGGGCCCAGGGACACTCTCCGACACCAGAGCTGCCAAACAGGTTTATCACCAGGCCCCCAACTCTCACCAGGCAGGGGCCAGTGCAAATCACATGCTAATTACATTTGTGAGGACACTAAGTGGGGAGGTATCTGAGTCACACCACGCCACCCTCTGGTCCTCAGGGAGGCTGGAGCTTTGAGAGCTGGGAGGAATCACACAGTGGGGAATACGAGGATGCAGCCAAAGCCAGGAAAATCCCAATAATCACAATCACAGCAAGAGGAGCCTCCACAAAGGCAACTGGGGAGAAATTAATGGGAAATGCAGACTGAGCTGTCCTGTTCCTGGGGCCTCCCTTCTAGAACTGCTAGGCATTGGAGGCAACAGATCTTTTCCTGGAGAGCCTCGATCTTGGGGGAGGGACCAGGACATGTAAGCAGAAGTTGCTGCCTCGGTTTCTCCCTGGACCATAGGCCTCTCCCCTGCTCCTTCTCGTAGCGGTGTGAGAGGCAGGGGACCCTGGAGGTATCACCTCCTACTTCCTTCCTATTTCGTAGGGGTGGTCCAGGGGGTGAGTGAGTTCCAGCTCCATCTTAGTAACTTGCCTAGGAGGGTTGTGGAGGGGAGTGGCTAGACAATGGATGGCCACACACTCACAGTGAGAACTGTTGGTACCACTGGTAGCCTGGCCTCAAGTCCCTTTTCTTTGCTATTAGAGTTCGTTTTCTAAAAAAAAAAAAAAAAAAAGTGGCTTAGACAATTGAATTCAGGGTAGCTGTGGTTACTTTACCAAGGGGCAAGGTTATGTTCCTACTGTGTCCACCACAAACTACACGTTGGGGAGACACCATCCTTCCTACAGGGCCCAGCGGGAGAGTGGTCTAAGTGATGGATACTCAGCCGAATGTGTGACAGGGACCAAGAGTCTTGGTTCCACCCAGGCGTGCAGAGGCGTGTGGCTCAGAATGCTGACTGGACTCAAGCCTGAGAGAGAGCCAGACTTGCCCAACCAAAGAAAAACAGAAAACGAAACAAAACAAAAAAAAAAAAACCTTGCCAGGAGTAGGGCTGGAGAGGGAGAGGAAGGGAGGGAGAGAGGTAGGTGGTGGGAAGGTTATAAGTAGTGAAGACTCAGGATTCAGCAGGGATTTATTTATCCTCTTTTTCTGCTATGGATCCTTCTGGAAGCCTGCCCAAGCTGACTGGTCTCCTTAGATTTTCTTTTTTGATAGGATCTCTATTGTCTGTGTATATGTTAAGGCTCGAACCCAGGTATGCATGCTAGTCAGGTACTCTTAACAACAGAGACACATCCCTACCCTCTTAGGATGCTTTTAATTGCATAAGATAAACTACAGGGCACACCAAGTCAACTGACTACTTTGAAACAGTTATCCAAGTATTTTTAAAGTGGCAGTGCGGTCATATATGTGCTTTGGGATTCATTCAGCAAGGATATTTAGAGACAGAGCTGCCATTATGCTATGATTTCAAAGCAGGGTTGGGTGTAAATAGGATTTTGAGATTCCTGGGACCCCAGTAAAGTGGTAATGAAAATATCAGAGGTTTTTATTGAGGTCAAAGTCACAGACATTGCCTTTAGAACCATAACAGAAGAGCAGGTGGAGCTCACATTAGTGAGAATAAACACACGGTCATTTCTTCATCTCAGGTCTGGGGTCATTTCTTCATCTCAGGTCTGGGTGCCTCAGAGGGCCAGGGGGCCTGCCTGCCTCTATAGCACAGAAACTCCTGGGCTAGAAGGCGGAGTTCCAGAGGTGCCAGAGCAAGCACATAGCAAGAACACAGCCTTCACAGTGCTGGATGCGGGGGGGTGGGGGGTGGGGAGGGGTGTTGCTCAGAGGAATGTAGCCTGGACAAACCCACTAACAGGAACAAATGGGAACGTAAACGTAAATAAATACAAGGCTGTCCTGTGATTCTCCGACAGGCCTAGAACACATGTGGAATGAAAAATCACAGTGATGAAAAAATCACAGTGATGAATAAACATAGGCCTCTGAGATTAGCAGAAGGACCATCTATGCCCTATTCATGCTCCCCTCCCCCATCCCTCACCAACCCAGCATTTTGGAATCTCCTCCCGACCATCCTCTTTCCTTTATTATATGGTGGTGATGTCTTTTCCTTGGAGAGGTGGGTAATTTGGCTTCTTCTTCTTCTTTTTTTTTTTCCCCCTCTCCTTATGCCCCTCAAACAAATTAATCGTGTCATTTGCCTGAAATAAGAACACATTTCTGCCAGATGTGTCCCTGGTCACCTATCTGGCACAGGTTCCTTTTCTTCCCCCAGCCTCCCCCCCCCCCCGCCCCGGCCTGTCATGAGGCAGGGAGGACCCACCATTCCGTGGGGCCAAGTATCTGAACTGGTTATACAGTGTGTTCCAGCCTAAACTCTGTGACTGAATTCTTACCCCTGTGTTCTCCGGGGGTCCTCCCTCTGCCGCTGGAGACCAGCAGCCTCTTGAAGAGGGCCTACGAGGACAGAAGTTCTTGCTTCTGTTTAAAGCCCAGGCAGAGCCCACCCTTTCTCCTGTCCGTCTTCTTCAGCCAGATGTCCCCACTCACTTCTAGGCTCCATCGCATCTGCCCAGCAGCCGCGGACAGGTGGACAGCAACTGAGTTTGGGGAAGAGGGGTCGGGGAGAAACGGCAGCCACATCTCCAAATAAGGAGCCCTGAGACACAGGTAGGAAATCCAAAATCGAGGGACCAAGGTCACATTTCATCCAAATGGCAATCCATTTGCTGTGTGACCTTGGGCAAGCCCCTTAACGTCTCTGAATCTTTCTTTTCTGACAAGGGTAAAAAAAAATCACATCCTAGGGGGAGTTGTGATGGGGCAGGCCCTGTTCTAAGTGTACGTGTGAACTTATTTTCCCTCAGAGCAATTCTGTGAGGTATCTGTGGTCACCCAGAGCCAAAGGGGCAGAACCAGAGTTGGAAGGGCAACCTTGTCCCGGGGCCCTTATTTTGATCTTGAACCTGTTGGCTCTCTTATCCTACCTGTGTGAGGTATTCTGGATGGCACCAAATGTAGACGGGCAGAGATTACCTGGGAGGGGGCAGGTAGGGGAGAGCCACGGAGGGCCCAGGTAGGGGTAGGGGAGAGCCACGGAGGGCCCAGGTCCAGGAGAGTATGTGAGGTGGGGTACCGGAAGCCTCCACACCCTGGCTCTTCCTGGCTCCTCTCAGTGGAGGCAGCACTCAGGTCCACGGAATTGCAGCTGGGTGTGGTGGGGCATGCCTGAGATCTCAAGTTCGAGGCCAACACCAGCTCCATAGGAACACTGTCTCAAGACAAACTTCTGGGCGTGTCTGTGAGGGAGTTTCTGGATTGGCTTAGCCGAGGTGGGACACTCATGGTGGGTGGCACCATCCTATGGGCTGAGGCCTGGGACTGAATGGAAAGGAGTAGAGCACCTGACAGTTTCCTGAGGCTTCTGCCACCATAACGTCTCTGCCCTGATGGGCTGTCTCCTCCAACTGTGAGCCTTGCTTAAAATGGTTTTCAGCGGGCGTTTTGTTGTAGCAAAAAGAAGAGGAACAAAGAAGTCACTAGGAACACCCTGTATGTGTGACGCAGGGCCTGATGGTTCTGGAGGGGTGCTGAGGGCCACTGTCCTCGGAACAGCCGATTTGCATGGTAGGCACTCTGGGATGGCTTGGAGGAACACCCACCCAGTCCCATACTCCTAGCCCATGAGAAGCAGAGGCAGGAGGGTCACTGGTTCTAGGCCTGCTGGGCTACATAGTAAGACTCTGTCACACACACACACACACACACACACACACACACACACACACACACACGAAGCGGTTCTTTGGACAAACTGAAGAACGCAGCGTCATGGGCTGCTGTCAGTTTCCACATGGGTGAACTGGCAAGGTCCCACAGAAGTACAGAGTAGGTGAGACAGCATCCAGAGGATTAGGTGAAGCAGGGGAGGCATGCAGGGGTGGGGTGAGGGGGTGGTCTCACCATACCCCTCTGTCAGTTTGACAACCCCCCCTTCCCCCAGAGGAGGATGCTCACACAGTCAGCCTCCTGGGGTCTGTGTGGAAGAGCAACTGAGGTAAGCAGAAGCTGCTGGCCTCCAAGGAACCCTCAGCTGAGGGAGAGGCCCGAGGCTGCAGGCTAGCCCACAGAGGATTGTCCTGGAGAAAGCCTGGGGCTGGGAGTGAGCAGACCCCTCTCTAGCGTGGCACCCCCAGAGCTCTGGGGGTGGGGCACTTGGAATTGCAGAGGGGGTGAGAGTGGAGCTGAGGAAGCCTTTCATTTGAAGCAGGGATGGGTCCCCACCAAGGCTGACTTCTGGGCGGCTGCCTTTCTTCTTCCTGTCCTCACCCCCACATCTGCATCCCAACCATCTATTTGCATCTCAACTGTCACACAGGACAAAAGGCGGCTGCTGATGACTGCAGCCCACTGAAGCTGCTCTTTCTTCCCGGCCTTCGGTGAGTTTTCTATAGACTGGCACAGGTAAAGGGATCACCTGGAGACGAATGCCGGGACTCCTTGGGGCTAGCAAGGACTGCTTTCTGGCCCCTGGGTTGTGGGGTATGGTGCACTGAAGCCCGAGGGGCAGTGATAGGCCCTGCTGAAGCTTGGATCTGGGAGGCACTGGAGGTACATCTAGCCTTTCTGAGATAAATTAACATCCTAAGTAGGAAGCATCACCACCAAGGTCCCACACAGAGGTCACTTGCTTCCTGCTCCCCATTTCCTGTTTTCATCTCCACCCTCTACTGCCCTGTAGTGGACTGTTGAGGTCAGCCCACCCCAGGCAGCCTCTGGACCTAGCCCAGAAGAAGAAGCCCACCTCCCACTGGGCTCGGCATCCATAGGGCAGATATTGAGCAACGCATGTCTCTATCCACAGAGCTCTGGATAGGGTGTGAGTTGCTGAAGGCCTATTCATCAAACCCACTTTGACCATGGCCTGTGGATCTTGCATCCTGCAGACTCTGTAGTCTTCAGACCCACCAGGGGGACTACCAGTCAGGATTGGAGGAGGCTGAAACACTGTGTGACCACATGTGACCACATGTGACCAC